AGAATTTTTTAGGATTAACATTTTATCGAATATCTAACTAAAAGCTTTACCAAAAATATCTGTAGAGCCTACATTTTAGCAATATGAACTTTCCAAAAATGTAACATAGAATAGAAAACCTTGGTCTCTCAAATTGATTGAAAATTAACTTAGTTATTTTTTAACTATAACCAAAAACCAACTTATAATATCACTAATTTTAAACTCAACTACTTTAAATCATTCAAAATTAAAATCTTATTAAATGAACTTTCTATCTACTTTTATTTTCACAAAACTTATCTACACACATTTTACAATACCAACTGTTTTAACTTTAATCTTGCTAACTTCTCAACCCATTGGTGTACATGCTCAAATCCATCACTTATCTCCAATATTATTTAAATTAGCATATTCAAATACATTAATTATACAGACCTTGATTTATCTATAAACTAACAAGAAGAACTTATTCATAAAATTAGTAACCACTATGCCTTTTATTCTATATCTCTTTAAACCAATTAACACTATCTTGATATTATACTCAAAAGACTTATTTTTAAATTTCTAATTAATATTATACAAAACTTTAATATCTTATGCAAATTAGTTTTATAAACAATTATTGCCATTCTCTTAAAGTTAATAAATTTTCTTATGAACAAATATAGACACCATATTGTATAAATTTTGTCAACTGGAAACAACAACAAGGACTTAAACCATTTTATATCAGACCCTTATTTCAATCAAATTAAAACAACAAAAGAAACTCTAATTGCAAAAATTATACTTATTCTTGTCTATATGGGCTACTTAACCAACTACATTTCAACTCTAATACTTGTTCACCTATTGGCTATACTATCTATAAAATTAACATCTGGACTATTTTTTGGATCAAATACAATATTTTTTATAACTATATTCTAAACTTACAAATCTAAATAAGTTTTGACCACTCTAGTACGTCTAAGCTTTTATTCTTGAATGTGGTTTTTTTTTTATTTGTACTTAGAGTAACTATATAGTTAACAGTTTAATAGTTTAGCCTTGACTGCAAGTGTTGGTTTTAGCTATAGCATTTATATAGAAAAATTACTTTTTGTACATAGCAACTCCATGTAGCTACTAATTTTTAAACTACTAATAAAGATATGAGCAAGGTCTCATCTTAATACCAAAAAAAAAAAAATCACTTTCTTCTATTTTACTTTTTTAAATAATCTTTTAAATTTTTAGATTATTGGTTTATCTTAAACAATAAATAATCTAAATAAACAAAATTAATTATTTTCAAATTTTCTTAATTTATCTAAATTGTAAAAACTAAATATATTATTAACTTATTACATTATTAATATAATTATTATTTCTACTCTTGAATACTACTTTTACTACATTGTAATTAACCAATTTATTCACAATAAAATTTTTATTCAACATATTGGACTAGTTAAATTTAAAGTTAAACTTTGTTGTATAATACTTTCTAGTATTTTTTTTTTTAAAATCTATAATATTAAATATATCTAAAATATTCAACTACATCATAATTTTAATTTTCAAAATGATTTAATAACCTTGACTTATTGGATACATTTACTTATATTTGAATTTAATAACTATAAAATAACTTTTAATTTTTTATTAATATAGTTCTTCTTCTAATCTAATTTTATTTTTTATTTTAATCCCAAAATTATTACTAAAAATGACCTTTGAACTATTTAATAAATTAAATTTCATATTTCTCTCTCTTATATTATTATTCACACTTAAATCTAGGTAAACCTTGATCACTCTTATAGGTTTAAATTGCAGATTATACATCTAAGTCTTTTTCTTCATATGTAATTTAAAAGCAAACATTTTTTTATAAAAACTTTATTTAAATTTCAATAAAGTTAAAGACATGATCTCACTTTTAATATTTAAAAATAAAAAACAATAAAGCAGTAACCATCATTAATATTGATCTTAATGAAAACAAAAAAAAAAAAGCAAGATTATAAATTACAAATGATTTTTTTAAAAAAAATATTATTTTCTTTTGATTTCACATTATACTTAATCTTATAATCTGATTGATCGATCAGATGAGTACATTACAATGCACATACGTACACTTAATTACATAACTCTATAATAAATATATTATATTAACTAGAAACTGAAGCCAGTAAAAGTTCGAAGCTCAATAACTTAACCTTTGAAAAATTCTACAGTATGTATGATCACGGTTTGATAATCAAAATTTTCAGGGACGTGTCTCGTTAATAATTCATCAAAAACGTAATTTCAATAAATTTCAGTTATCAAAACGTATAGAAGTATAAATCCTTCACTTACTCTGTACAATCAGTACTAGTATTAAAAAATATAATATATTTTTTTAATTGATATATCCAAGTTGATGTATAACTTTTCAAATTATCATAAGACTAATTTTATATTCTAATCAAAGTTCTATTTTTAATTGTAATTCATACCAATACTAATTTGACTTTTTTTTTATTAAAGTCTTAAGATATATTATTCAGGTTTAATAATCACAGTTTTCCTAAAAGTGACAGATGTTTTTTTCAATATATTATATCTTTGCAAGAACTCGACTTATAGAAGATCTATTTTCGAACTTAAAAATTTTTTCTTATAAAAGATAATAGTTCGGTATTCAACTAGAGATATACGTACAACAGTACGTATAGTTTTACGAATCCAATTTGAATCGATTATAGCGAAATTACAAACTTAATTGAGTCTCATTCGGCTAATTTTTATCAGGTGTTTCAGGAATTATGAAAACAGCTGTAAGACCAGACCAGTCTGGACTGGTCCGATCTAATTAACTCTTAAGACTATAGCGATAGACCAAACCTGGACTGGACTGTTAACATCTCTATACATAAACAACCTATTTAATTAACAAATTATTTATATTACTAGCTTTTCTATAATGAATATTTGACCACTTCAGCGAAATACGCAATTTAGCCGTTGACCTGTCAAGTCAAGCGTCAGATGGTAGAATCTTTCTAAAAATAGAGGCTGCTTTGTAGACTACGTAATTGATAGTATTGTGTATCCACTAAATATGGTTAATAAAAGTCGGAGTCTCAAATGAATTGTGAATAGACATGTTTAATTTAAACAAATCAAATAAACGTACGTATGTATGTACAATAGTAATTATTCACTTTATTTTATATTTATTATCAAGTTATCCAGATGGTTTCAATCATGGAATTTTCTATACATAAACCATAACCTACGCAGTTATTAATGTCTGTAATTATTTAAGATTATTGAAAGTTTTTATTAACAATAAAAAACAATTAACAATAATTTTAAAAATGAAAATTCATGACTATTATATAACAGTTTTACGTATTCGTATAACCCAAAATCATCTAAAGAGAGGATTCTTATAAACAGAAAAAATAAATAATGTGTCGTCAGTAAATATTTATACTTAAGAATTTTGAATCCTTAAAGAAGGGTATATTTATTTGTTTGCGTATTTCATCTGAAACATAATGTTTGTAAATGGAAATTGTCCTTTTAAACGATATACGTAGAATTTGATGTTAAGAAATGTAATGCGCAATCTGAGAGAATTATGAGTGACTTTCAATTTCTTAAATCGACCATTTGCTTGTTCAAGGATTTTTTTATACGGTGACCGGTATAAAATGTTTTCATTGTATATTTCATTATATATTTTCATGATATGTTGGCATAATTAGATCGACATGTATCGCACAAAAATATATCGTGAATGCTAAATCCATTCGAGTCTTCTCTATATCAAATCGATCTCATTTATTTTTAAATAGTTTATTTAAGAGAATTATTAAATAGAATTTTTAACTGAATGGATATTCGATTTCTATATAGCATTCATTGATAATATATTCGAAATCTTCGTATTATGTTTAAGTATATATTATAATAATTTTATAATAATAATTATAATATTGTTATTAATTAATGTTAAGAAAACATGCAATATGATTTTTTATTTTTGTGATCATGTTTGTTAATGCTAATCCAGAAATACGATTATTATTTATATTAAACAAAAAATTGTCTATAAAATATAAGTGTCATGAGATTCAATGAATTTAATTCGTTGTTTACTATATCCATGCAAGTTATATATACAGGAGTACAGAGAGATAATTCAGGATTATTCAATTGAACAATCACTTGGCAAATGACTCAAATGTAGACATGCTGTGACTACAGTAACTCTATTCAAACGGGCATTACATGATATATACTTCAGTGATTGGGAGTTTAATCTTTTTTTTTTTTTTCCTGACGACTCTAGTTTTTCTCACCGTCCTATTTTTGACCACTGTCCTTGCCTCATAAATAAACCGAGGCATGGTCAAATTTTTAACGCATCCGGCTTAATTCTTACAGCAGTTTTGAGAACAAACAAACAAAATTTGTTTATAAATTGATTTCATTTATAATTATTCTGACATATATATATATATATCTTTACTGTGTCTTAAAAATTTCTTTATCGCGTATTCTTTTTTACACCTAATATCTTTTCACGTACATAATCTCACGCTCTTTATTATTTAATTATTTAATCATCAGATTTCACATAACGTAGAAGATTATTATGGCGTCAATCCTTGATTTATGTTTTCTCGTTTTTTGCATTGGGTTCACTTCGGCATCTTGCGGGTTTATGCTTTATCAATGCATAAAAAACTTTACAAAACTACGTCTTGCATGGTAAAAAAAAAAAAAAATAAAAAAATCTATATCGCTTTGTTTTCTCAATTTGATAATTACATCACATTTTAACTATAATCTTTTTTTTTTAATGCCCCATAAAAAGTCTTATATCTATTATATCCATATTTATTATCAGCGTGTGTAATTTTGTCCGAGATCAAAATCCTTCTATGATACGGCTAGTAACGTATTGGTTCATCTTTGCACTCGTAAGAGCGGTCTACACAACTATCTTGGTTGTATGTATGCTGGACATGGGGCGAAAATTTTACGGAGGAGGCCCCTGGAATACTACACTATTTAAGACAACTATTTTACAATTGTTCATATTTGACGCTGTAAACGTGGTAGATGCCATATTGATAAATGTTGACCAGCTGGACCATTCAGAGTTTCCACTATTTCTTTCCCAGGTTTGTAAAAGTAAATTTCGTATGTTAATGCTATGTTATGCAATGCTAATGCACCAATTAATGGCTTCTATAAAAATCTTTTTTTTTGATGCATTAACAAAAAAAAAATATTAATAATAATACGTAAATTATACGCATTAACATTTAATGCGTTTTCTTTACGTAGCTAATTTTAGGCGTTTCAACAATCACCTCTTCATTTTTGTATGCCTTCCTACCGGTTCTTACCGTTCACATAAGTAGAGCAGCAATTCAAAAATGTCACATAAATGCGCAATCCGCTGCAGTTGGTACATGGTATATGACAATCACGGGGATCCTGTCAATCATGTATCTTATCCTTTATCTCGTAACATTTTGCTTCAGTGATGAGTTAAATTACTCTCCTATTGGTAATTCTTTGGATTACATTTTGCGCACTGGAATCTCTTTGGCTATTGGTTTGCCGCCTCCTGCTAAAGTTATAAACATCATGAAAATGAAAATTATTGGGCGTATGTCAACTCACGTTGCTCCACGTGATCCAAAACGAGATTTTGTAAATGAACAAGAATTTAATCAAATTTGTTGATGCATATTATAGATAACTCTTATCTTTGACACATATTTCTTGATTTTTTTGTAATTTATGTACGTTAATTAAACCTGTTTTACTTTTACATAATCCTTTTTCGTAAATTTGTACTTTTGAAACTGATAAAAAAGTGATAATCATGAATTAACGCTAACTTTTGTAATTCTTTTAAATTGTATTATATAAAACTTCATTATACGTATAATAATTAGTTTGATTGGCTACTTATTATATGGTAACCTTAACAAACATCAATGGTTATATACATATAGTGTTCAATAAGTTTTTTTCGTTATTCGGAGGTCTCGGCAAGTGATACAAAAATTAAGTTTTGCACGTGAACGAGAAAATTCCAAGTGTCTAAAAAACTAAACAGAGTAAATGCTAAAGCTATTTTCCTAAGTAAAGTTGTACAGAAGAATGCTAACTTCGTTAGCATCACCATCTTGTCCACATTATAGTAGATGAAAATTCTAACTTGGCCAATAAAAAAAAACCATTTTTAGAACAAGTATAATATGAGACATCTTGTATCTCCGTTAATTTGTTTTTATTTTTTGTATGTTGATCTGACAACGATGCAGGTACTGCATATTCTGTTTCGACCAAGAATTTTTATATGTGATAGTTAGTATCACATTGGTTTCTGTCATATATTTTATTGCTGTCAAAACTATGTGACTTAATTATCACTTAGTCCCAAATAGTTTGAGTAACATCAAGATGCCTCAATGAATATAAAGACTTAACCTCAATGAATACGTATAAAGACTTAGTATATTAATATAGTTTATAAAGTCACAGAAGCTTTTTTTTTTTTTAGGGACTTATCTAACTATGGATAATCGATGTTTATACGTAGTACAATAGAATTGATGGATGGACCCCGCGAAATGTTCTAATTCCGCGCATTTTCCGATCACACGATTATAAATAAACGCCGTTACGATAAAGTTTCACTTATGTTAATATAGTAAAATTACTCGAGAAAAAGTTTTTATTAAAACATGAAAACCGGATTTAGATTTATCAATGAACAAAAACTAAATTATTACTAACTGATACATATTATACAAATAAGAAATAATTTAAATATTTCTTGATTAATTCTACCCGAAATTATGAAATAAAAAATATGGGGGTTTATACTTAATTTACATTATATATTTTTTTTATATTTGAATTTTTTTTTTTTTTTTGCGTTTTAGTAGCCGAATAGATTTTTTTAAAAAAGAAAAGCCAACTGGCCAGATTTGTTCTAAAATTTTATGTTATGAAAACCAAGTAATTAATTTTGTGGTCTAATTGATATTGGTGCTCTAAGTGAAAATGTTCTACGTATATATGTCGTACGTTAGAATGGAATTAGAATGCACCTAGGTTGATTCCAAATAAACATAGGTTATAATAAAATTCTAAAACGTGTCAGAGTCGTTAAATTATTTCATTGAGTACTTTAAGGCGCTTTAAAATAGGGTTTATTCATTAGTTAACTTTAAAAACATTACATAAAGTTTTTACATCTATGATTAGTGGTTTATTTACAATGATTTTTGTCATACGCGTTTTTGCATTTGCATTTAATATTATCAACTTGTGAGGAAGATTTCTTGAACGCTTATGTGCGTTGAAGAAAAAATAAGTTTGTGATAGAAATTATTATGTTTTCTTAAGAATCCATCATTACATCTTTTATGCGAATTACTGTGAAATTTTAAATTCTTGAGTTTGTTATATCCGGTGTTCGTTATAGAAAGGTTCAATAACAATTGTACTATCTAATCCTGGAAACTTATTAGTAATTCCAATAATGCCAATTTGCATCCAAGCTATATGTGTCATTCTTCAAACTTCGAGACCTTGCAGGAGAGTGTCCTTCAATCGTTGTGCATGTATTTGCTGATCATGTAAAACCTTAATATGAAAATCAGGAGTTTTCACGTGTTATAAAGGTTTAACATCGACTATTAGCCGATTTGCTAATAAGATATTTGGAAAGCGGTTCTTTGAATTCATTATGAAGTAAAAATGAATAATCTTGAGATTCGGTTATAGGATAAAGTTTTGCGAAGAACAAAAAAATTTTGTATTTTATTTGACAATTTATCATGAAGATATGATCATGCTACGTTAATCAATTACACATTTATTGTAGTAGTATCAAATTCAACTTGATATTAAATTTGTCGATTATCAAATTTAGAATCAACTTAGGTTGCTTTTAAATTTCGTATTAGCTTGGGCTACTTTCTAACTTAAGTTGATTCTAAATCCAATGTACTTTCAATTACGTATTTTAAGTCGTTGATTAACTATTTGGAGTTAGGCGTACTTATAAGTAAATTTAGAAATTGTGTCACATAAAATCTGGTAAAGAATCAAAGTAGCATAATAAGAGACGTTCTCGACTAACCAGATACCAAATTTTGCTAACGATTTAGATACTCCGTGCCAAATTACGAATTTTAGTATATATATGTTTTTACTTTTACGGCAACTTTGAACCGGTTCAAATATATACTTGATCTCTATGTACATCGCCAAAGTCTAGTCTTGCTGTGTTGCATTTAGAGAGGTTTGATTGTATAAAATTTCACGATTAAAAGAAGAAAATCACGATTTTATACACGCACCATTCTTATATGGCAGTTAACCATACACTTCGTGATTTGCATCACTACATTCCTGGTATACGTAACACTGTATATGAATGCTGCCAAAAGAAAATCAGACTTAGTGAATTTAAGTTTATTTGCTAGATTATATTCAGCTGTGATCTGATACGTGATTAAGCAAAAAAAAAATCAAACTTCGGGTTTCAAATATTTCAAATATTTTTGAAATTTCTTTTAGGATTTCGTTTTAATTACGTATCATATACGTATCAGGTCAGAGCTGAATCTAGCAATAAACGAGGTTTGGTTTTCTTTTGGAAGCACTCATGTACTAGTAAAACGGCCCGCAGTTTCGTAGAGTTGAGTCATATTTATTACACACCTAAACTTGGAAATAAAATTTATAACATACATATATATGAATATTATTTTACTGTAGCATGATAAACTTTAATTTAAAATTCATAAATTTATAAAGTATCTTTGCACTTCAACTAATCTCTGTTGTAAACTCGTACTTATTACATTCGTTGCTTGAATTGGTATATTCGTTTTCGGCATTGTTCCGACGCTTTCATCGATCGTGCCTTTTTTTTGACTCGTTATTTCGATCAATTAACCGTTCATCGGATGTCTTCTTCCTCTAACATCATCTTTTGTTCAGCCTCTTATGTTTTTGCATCGACATAATAAATTATTGATCGGCTTTTGTTAATCATCTCTATTTGTTTGACTATTTTTAATAATTGGATTTCTGATTAACTAAATTTTACAAGGGACACGATTATTCAAGATTTATCTTATTACAAGATCGGGAGCCGACATCGACCGGACCAAACTTAGTATAGTAGTAGAGAATAAAAAGGTCTTACGCTCCCCTATGCTCCAGCCCAATTAAATTATATCGTTATAGTCATGTATATTGAGTTGATTCGAAAAATTTCCATTGAATAAAACAATAATATAAGATTATGTAATTACATTAAACTTTCATTTTAAATTCACGTAATCTTGCTTTTAAAAAGAGTTTCTATTATATGGCTACTTCAAAAATCTTTTTATCTTTTTAGAGATCTTAATATGTATTTTGATGCTATCTAAATCAATATTCAACAATTTGAATAGTCCTGTATGAAAATGTATTTTTTGATTCTGTTAACAAAGTTTATTTATATCTGCAAAGGACTTATCATTGACTTTAAAATACAATAAGCCTGAATTTAATGGTTTAATACACTTGCATTATAATCGATTTCTAACGATTTAATTAAAGTCTATAATTACGACTACCGACTTTGTCTATGATTGGTTAAAATTTAAAATCCGTATTTACATTATGAATTTGGCTGCAGAATCGTTAAAAGGTTACTTCAATTAATTATAAAGATTGAGTTGCATTAAAAATCCAAAAGAAAATTTTAATAATATGGATTTTCCTCGAAACCATTGATTGCTTAAATCCACAAGATATTTCATATAGTGATTTAACGCATAGTATGTATTCGAGATCTTAGCACAATGGATTATTTGAAATCTTTAATTGAACTTGTTCTCGACATCTTAGGGACTCTTCATCGTTTGGATCAATATTTAATGCTTCATTTAAGTCTTTAAGTGAATTTTTAAATTCGCAAAGTTCATAATATGCTTGTGCCCGAGTTTTTAACGCATCAACATTCCCTGGCTCAATTCTCAATAACCTTGTTAAGTCATTTACTGATTCTCGATATCTTTTCAATTTATAATTAGATTGTCCCCGGATTTTTAATGAAATTTTATTATTTGGATCAATTTTTAATGAATTTTTCGAATCTTCAAGGGACTCTTTATATCTTTCTAACCCAAAATAAATTTGTTCCCGATATCCTAATATTTCCGCATCATTAGGATAAATGCTTAGTGATCTAGAAAAATCTTCAAGAGATTCCTTGTAGCGTTTTAACTTATAATATGTTAATCCACGAAATTTTATAAGAGTTACATTGTCCTGATCAATTTTTAATGAATCGTTTAAATCTTCAAGGGCTTCTTGGTAGCGTTCTAACTTGTAATATGTTTGTCCTCGAGTTCCTAATGCAAATGCATTGTTTTTCTCAAATTTTAATGATAAAGTTAAGTCTTCAAGAGATTGGTTATAATTTTCTAAGTAATAAAGTACCTTCCCTCGAAATCTTAATGCACATGCATTATTTTTATTTACATTTAATGCATTTGTTAAATGCTCGAGAGAATCTTCATATTTTCCAAGCATATAAAATGCCTTCCCTCGAGTTTTTAATGCGTCAAAATCCTTTGAATCAATATTTAATGAACTTGTTAAGGTTTTAAGTGAGCTATTATACATTCCTAGCTCATAATATGTTTGTCCCAGAAATCTTAGAGTAACGGCATTTTCAGAGTCAACTTCTAATGACTTTTTTAAATTTTCAAGAGATTCTTGATATTTAGTTAACATAAAACAAGTATAACCCAAAAATCTTAGTAAATCTGTGTTATTAGGATCAAGCTTCAACGATTCAGTTAAATCTACATAAGACTTATCATAGCTTTTTAATTTGTAATGTACTTGTCCTCGAAAGCTTAGTGCAACTGTATTATTTGGCTTAATTTCTAAAGATTTATTTAAATCTGTAAGCGAATCTTTATAGTTATTCAACATAAAATGAGTTTGTCCTCGAAAACTTAATGCATCTGCGTTGTTTGGTTCTATGTCCAATGATTTTGTCAAATCTTCGATTGCTTCTTTATATTTCTCTAAATTATAATGAACTAACCCTCGATACCTTAGGGAATCTGCATTATTTTGGTCAATTTTCAATGCTTTATTTAAATTTTCAAGTGAATTATTAAATTCACCAAGTTTACAATATGCTTTTGCTCGAGTATTTAATGCATCAACATTTTCTGGATCAAAGTCTAATAACTCTGTTAAGCTTTTAATAGATTCGTTATATTTTTCTAACATGAAATAAGATTTTCCTTGAACCAATAGTGCAATAGGGTTTTTTGGGTTAATTTTTAATAAATTGGTCAAATCATCAAGTGATTTGTTAAATTCTTTTAACTTAAAATATGTTTGTCCTCGAGATTCTAACGTTGTTGTATTATTCGGATCAATTTCTAATGATTTAGTTAAATCTGTAAGAGATTCTTCGAAACGATTTAGCATATAATATGTTTGACCTCGAGATAATAGTGTAATCGAGTTATTGGAATCAAGCTCTACTGATTTACTTAAATCAGAAAGTGATTCTTCATAACGCTCTAACATATAAAGCATTAGTCCTCGAGATTTTAGTGCGTCCGAATCATCCAAATCCATTTCTAATAATTTATTTAAATCTGTTAACGATTCTTCATAACGTTTTAGCATGTATAATGTTTGTCCACGAGATCCCAGTGCAATAGCATTAGTTGGATCTATTTTCAATGATTTAGTTAAATCTGCAAGTGATTCTTCATATTTGCCTAATATATAATATATTTGTCCTCGAGATATCAGCGAAACTAAATCCTCATTATTAATTTTTAATAATTTATTTAAATCCTCAAGCGACTTATTGTAATTTTTTTGCTTAAAGTAGGCTAATCCCCGGAATTTTAACGCATCTATATCATCTGGATCAATGTTCAGTAATCTACTTAAAAGTTCAATAGAACGTTCGTAGTTATTAGCCTCGTAATAAACTAGTCCTTGGGCTTTTAGTTCGCTCACATCATCTTGGTTTTGAGAAGATTTCTTTAAATTAGGATCATTTATTATCTGTATATTTTGTCCCACAGAAAATAATGAAGATGCTCCGCTCCCAGTTAAAGTAGGAATAGGTCTTTGATTACGATTTATAATGAATTCTTCAATTTTTGTTTCTTCTGATATTTTATTGAGAATCTCTAAAATTTTGGTTGTTTCTGGACGTTTCTGTGGATCAATGTCCCAACAATTTTTATAAAGCTCAGAGAAATTAAATGGCGTACCAGGAATTGTATCCTCTCGATAACCTTGCATTATTTGAATACATATAGCAAGTGCATTAACAGCGCACTGAAATGGGGCAACTCCACTCGTAAGCTCCCAAAATACTACACCTAAGCTATAAATGTCCGATTTTTTATCACGTTTGTATCCAGTCTGATGACATACTGGGTCAATATATGCTGGTGCACCATTCGAAGTTATTAATGAAGAAATTAAACTGTCATTAAACTTTTTTGATAAACCAAAATCTGCAATTAAGAATTTTCCATCATTTATTAAAATATTTTTAGGATGCTAAAATAAAATTATTAATTATTAATTTAAATAATTTATAATAAAATATAAGTTATTATTAGAAATTTATGCTTACTAAATCACAATGAATTATATCATTCTCGTGCAAACGCATTAACCCGCGAGTAATTTGTTTCGCAATTTCGATGATTTCATTTATTGAAATTTTAAAAGTATTATCACACCATTTGCTTTGCAAATATTGCCGCAGAGTACCTCCATTGGCAAACTGCAGTACTAATATGAGATGCTCTGTTTTAGGATCTAAAATCATGTAGTAATGTAGTCATAGGTAGGAATATTATTTAGGAAATTTAAAGAATATTATGTTACAATATATATTATTAACAGTACCTGTTGTAATCCCATAGAATTGGTTAATATTTGGATGAAATTGAATAGCACGTAGTTGTTTAAGCTACAATAAGATTATATTTATTAGATGCGGACTAGACACTGGAAAACAACTTAAATAGATTACCTCGTTAACAAAATCTCTAGTTGCTTCTTTAGTGTTAATGCTTTTCAATGCAACTTTTCCCCCGTAATAGTCAGCAGAACTAATAAATCCAAACCCTCCTTTATAAAATTTTAATCTTGAAAGTTAAAAATTTTTTTTATTTGTGTTAGGATTAAGAGTGCGCTAAATAAATAGAAGAATCATACCTTTTCTAATATATTTAATATTTTTGAACAGTGAATATTTATATAAAGATATATTACCATTTTCCACTTCCTTTTCCAACCATTCAGAGTATTTTTTTAACACATCTGAGCATGACATTATCGGTTTCTATTCAATATAATCATTGTGAAAAAAAGTGTCTCATTTACCTTATGTACCATTAAGCAACTTTAGATTGTTAGTACGTTGTACCTGTGTATCCGTGTACTACATTTTTTCGGATTTACTTATTTGTGTGTGCCTGTAATACAACCCAAAAAAGGAGGTCAACTAAAGCGGAGTTAATTCAATATATGATCTACATACTGCATAAATTACATTCTTGATATTCTATATCACCTACCAACCATAACTGCATCAAAAAAGTAACTCTAAACTCACTCCGCTTTAGACGTCCCCCAAAAAAGGAAATTTGATTTTGTAAATAAACAAAGTTCCATAGACAATTGCTGCTTACTTTCCCGAAATCCATTTTCTGAAAAACCATTTCACCGAAGTCGTAATATACTAACAGGACAGAATAGGTCTGTGTCATTTCACTGAATATCAATTCTGCAATTAACCGATAAGTTTATTTCACTGACAAAGTAATTCTGGTCATTGTCGTTAGGATCAAGTTTAGAATTAGAGTTAAGGTTAGTGCAATTGTTTAAAAAAAATTTGTCGTTGAAATGAGCTGTCGCTGAAATAGTTGTCGGTAAAATAAACTTATCGGTTAATTGATTTTCGGTGAAATGACAGAATTTATTTCTATCCTGTTAGTAAAATAGATTTTCGGTATTGCAACTTCGGTGAAATGGTATTTCAGAAAAATGGATTTCGATAAGTTAAACCGGAACCCGTAATACTGGTATCGTATAGCGTGGATTAAAATACCCGGGTACTTTACAATTTAAGCTGTATCGGTATATGTTATGCGTCATTTCTCAATTTACGTCGATTATTAATTGAAGCTTGCCATTTTTCAATTTCCACCGATTAATAAATGACCCTTAACGCAGATCATATTATAATCAACGGTAGCTTATTAATGATGCCAATAATGATAAATAAATAAATTTGGAAAAATATTCTTTTATCATGTATTTTTTTTACTTCTATTTCTACTAATGAATCCAAAAGTTCTTCTTTTCTAACCCGTGAGACCTTTAACCGAATACTGGAAAATTATACAAACGAAGCTTGATGAGTAGAGAACGCTACAATGAATGTCTTAATATATTAAAAAAATCACTGCCAAGCAAAATAATGCATGTCCAATTCATAATATTCAGGAACGTCAAACTTATAATGTTCAACACTCAAGTCATACAATTCATACTATGCAAGAACACCTAATACAAAAATGCTCAACTCAAGAATAACCAAGAAAACTTAACTCATACATTTCCGAAATAAGTAAATAAAAAAAATTTTCGAATTTCAATTAAAATTTTACTGATATAATTTGAATTGAAGTAACAGTGCAAATAATAATGGTTCAAGTCAAAAAACCTCACCCAAATTCTTGCAGTTGCGAAAAACGAATTGCAGTACTAAATCTTGCTCTTGTAGAAATAAAAATTCGTTATACTCAAGGCACTGTGGATGCGTTTTACGTGAACAATGCAAACATTTTTTTTAGTTACATTAGTAAAATTTTAATATATCTTGCATAAATTTGAATATTTTCGGTTAAATGTAATACGTATAATAAATCTTTCTGTCAGTTTTTTTTTTAATTTTTACAAATTTTATACCGATTGAAAAATGACGTATGTCAGTTTTCAATTGAAAAATGACATGCGTCAATTAATAATTGACAGAATTTACAAATAACGCATAACGTACAGTATATACGGAGTATTATAGTCAGAGGGATAATATGGTTAGCGTAGGGGTATAAAATGATTCCAAAATACGATTACTGATTTACTAAGCCTATATGTTTACGAAAAAAAAAACCATAGCATGACATATAAGTAGGGGCGAGGGGAGTATTTTACATTTCAAGTGCTATCATTTTCGATATACGTAATAAAAATATCCTGATCCGTTGGGTATTAGCGGAAACGAAGTTTCCGCTTGTACACATACGGTCAGGGTATTTTTGCTAAATACCCAGTGATCTTGATATAGTGATCGGGGTATTTCTGTCATAATACCCCGGGTATAATTCATTCTAGGCCTCCAAAAATCGGGTGGGATATTATAGTAGGGGCCTTTTAGTTCACACTATACGGCACTTTAACGACAATTTTGTGCAATCAACGATTAAGTTGCATCTTGTTGAAATAAACTATTTGATTGGTTACACTAGAAAGATTCTGTAAACTCAGCGGATCAATTTTATTATACAGTTATGTAAAATATTCAAACTATTATTACTGTATTAGAGTTTGGCAATATCAAAATGAGGTGTAAAAATATCAGTATCCTATATAAATAAAACACCTATAAATATAATATAAAAATTTGGATCAAATTTACAATTGATGTAATTAATTTATAAAATTTCAAGGGGTAATTATAAGATAATATAACAATAACAAATGTAATACGATCGTTAAGAATATTAACGGTAACAATACAGTAATAAATACTACACTCGAATTTATACAATAAATGAGATTCCGATTCATATTATAATCCGCATAATCAAGTAATCAGTCTCTCATCGAGAAATCAATTCTTAATACTCCTGTATTAAGGACATTGAAGTCTGAAGCTTTATTCGAAGAGCGAACAAGTAGCTCTTTTATACTTTCAAGATACATAGAGACAAGGCTTTTACATATTTTGGTTAGATCTACAGTAATCACTTTTGGACTAGATGTAGTCCTTCCGCTAGGCTTAAACCCAATTCTTACCATTTTAGAACCACTTGTCTAAGCAATGGTCCAGGTCTAATCCCTTCGCCTTAACCCTTGACATAAATATTGGCATTGTTCCACACTGCTTAGCCTATGCCACTACAAAAGCCTCACGATATCCTTGTGGCTTCGATGCTAATCACATTAGAAACACTTTATAGTCAGTCAGATAGTCACATCGAGTCACGATTTAGTTAATTAAATCGTGACAATATTATCCATTCTAAATCGCGAAACATATAGAATATAGTTTTATATCACACGTATACAAATTGTAATTTTTTGCTGGAAAAGCCTCCGCAATGGCACGATTTAGTTCTAACAATTATCGTTATGTATATTAAAGCATATCATGATGGACACATATATTTGAGCTGTTCAAAAAAAAATTTCCATTTAATAAAATTATGTAAGATTATATAACTAGAATTAGTGCTAAGCTCTGTACATGAAATTTTCTATATTTTAATTTTACGTAATCTTGCTCTTTGAAAAATTTCTATTCATAGCTACTTTAGAGCTTCAAAAAATTTCATACATTTTTTTTTTGCATTAGAGATATTAGTATTTTGATATTATCTAAATCAATATTCAACGGTTTGACTAGTTCCATATGATAATGATTTTAATTGATCCCTAAATAATTGCGAGCTATTCCTTGCAATTTTAGGGACTCTGCGTCATTTGGGCCAATATTTAATGCTTTATTTAAGTCTTCAAGTGAATTTCCGAATTCGCCAAGTGCACAATATGCTTGTCCTCGAATTTTTAATGCATCAACATTCCCTGGTTCAATGTCCAATAATCTTGTTAAATCCTTTACTGATTCTCGGTATTTTTCTAATTTATAATACGACTGCCCTCGTATTCTTAATGCAATTTTATTATTTCGATCAATTTTCAATAAATTTGTTGAATCCTTAAGAGATTCTTCAAATTTTTCTAACTCAAAATAAGCTTGTCCTCGATATCCTAGTGTCACCGCATCAGTTGGACACGTGTTCAATACTTTAGAAAAATCTGCGAGCGATTCCTTGTAGCGTTTTAACTTGTAAAACGTTTGTCCACGAGATTTCATCGCAGTTACATTATCCCGATCAAATTTTAATGAATTGGTTAAATCTTCAAGAGATTCTTGGTAACATTCTAACATATAAAAAGTTCGTCCTCGAGTTCTTAGTGCAAATGCATTGTTTTTCTCGAATGTTAATGATAAAGTTAAGTCTTCAAGAGATTTGTCATAATTTTCTAAATAATAATGTACTTGTCCCCGAAATCTGAGTGCACATGCATTGTTTTGATTTATATTTAATGCATTTGTTAAATCTTCAAGAGAATTTTCGTATTTTCCAAGCATATAAAATGCCTGTCCTCGAGTTTTTAATGCATCAAAATCCTCTGGATTAATATCCAATGAACTTGTTAAAGTCCTAAAAGATTTATTATACATTCCTAGCTCATAATAAGTTTGTCCTAGAAATCTTAGAGTAATGACATTTTCAGAGTCAATTTCTAATGACTTTATTAAATTTTCATGAGACTCTTGATATTTATTTAATTTAAAACAAGAATATCCCAAAAATTTTAGTGAATCAGCATTACCAGGATCAATTTTTAACGATTCGATTAAATCTGCATAAGACTTATCATAGCTTTCTAACTTGTAATGTACTTGTCCTCGAAAGCTTAGTGCAACTGCATTATTTGACTTAATCTCTAAAGATTTATTTAAATCCGCAAAAGAATCTTCGTAGTTATTTAGCATAAGATGCGTTTTTCCTCGACAACTTAATGTATCTGCATTATTTGGCTCAATTTTTATTGATATATTTAAATCTTCAAGAGATTTATCATAGCATTTTAATGTACAGTACGCTTGTCCTCGAGTATTCAAAGCATCAATATTTTCTGGTTCAAAGTTTAACAACCCTGTTAAAGTTTTTATAGATTCTTCATACTTTTCTAACATGAAATATGATTTCCCCTGAATTAATAGTGCAATGGGATTTTTTGGATTAAATTTTAATAAATCGGTCGAATCTTCTAGGGATTTAGTAAATTCTTTTAACTTAAAGTGAGTTTGTCCTAGATATTCTAATGTAATTGCGTCGTTTGAGTCAATTTCTAATGATTTAGTTAAATCTATGTGTGATTCTTTGTAACGATTTAGCATGTAATATGTTCGACCTCGAGATCTCAGCGCAATAGCATTATTTGAGTCTATTTTTAATGATTTATTTAAATCTGCAAGCGAATCTTTATAACTGCCCAATATGTAGTATATTTGTCCTCGAGAGATTAACGAATCTAAATCATTATCAATAATTCTTAATAACTTGGTTAAATCTACAAGGGATTTGTTGTAATTTTTTTGTTTAAAGTATGCTAATCCTCGATATTTTAACGCATCTGTATTATCTGGATCAATGTTAAGTAATTGGCTTAAAAAATCGATAGAGCTTTCATAATTACTTTGCTCATAATAAATTAGTCCTTGAGCTTTCAGTTCGTTCGCATAATCTTCATTTTGAGATCTATCTAAGCTAGGTTCATTTATTATCTGTCCACTTAGTTCAACGGAAAGTAAAGTAGTTGATCTGTTCGCAGTTAAAATAGGATTAAGTCTACGATTACGATTTATAATAAACTCTTCACCAATTGTTTTTTCTGATATTTTATTGAGAGTTATCAAAATTTCATCTGTTGTTGGACGTTTCTGCAAATCAATGTCCCAGCAATTTTTATAAAGCTCAGAGAAATTAAATGGCGTACCAGGAATTGTATCTTCTCGGTAGCCTTTCAATATTTGCATACATACGGCAAATCCATCGATAGCGTTCTCAAATGGAGCAATTCCACTTGTAAGCTCCCAAAATACTACACCTAAGCTATAAATATCCGATTTTTTATCACGCTTGTATTCAGGCTCATGGGACACTGGGTCAATGTACGCTGGTGCACCATACGAAGTTGTGAACGAAGAGATGAAACTATCATTTATCTTTTTTGCTAAACCAAAATCAGCAATTAAGAATTTGCCATTGTTTATTAAAATATTTTTAGGATGCTAAATAAATTATTAAATAAACAATTTAAAATAATTAATAATACGTAATATATAAGTTATATATTAGAAATTTATGCTTACTAAATCACAATGAATTATATCATTCTCGTGCAAACGCATTAGCCCGAGAGTAACTTGTTTCGCAATTTCGATGATTTCATTTATTGAAATTTTAAAAGTATTCTCACGCCATTTGCTTTGCAAATATTGCCGCAGAGTCCCTCCATTGGCAAACTGCAGTACTAAAATGAGATGTTCTGTTTCAGGATCTAAAATCATGTAATCACAGGTAGAAATATTATTTAGGTAGTTTAATGTAACAATATATGTTATTAATAGTACCTATTGAAATCCCATAGAATTGGTTAATATTTGGATGAAATTTAATAGCACGTAGTTGTCTAAGCTATAATAAGATTATGACTTATTAGATACAAACCAAACATTTGAAGACAACCAAAAATGTATTACCTCGTTGGCAAAGTTTTTAGTCACTTCTTTGGTGTTAAGGTTTTTCAATGCGACTTTTTCTCCATCATAATCAGCCGAACTAATAGAACCAAACCCGCCTTTATGAAGTTTAACACTTGAAAGTTAAATATATATATACATGCATTTTTTTCTATTGTATTAGATGAAATAGTATATTAATAATAATTAGAGAATCATACCTCTTCCAATAGCTTCAATATTGCTGAACAGTGAATATTTATAAAAGAATATATTACCATTTTTCACTTCCTTATTCAACCATTCAGAGTATTTTTCTAACAAATCAGAGCGTGACATTATCTGTTTCTGTTCGTTAAAATCATTGTGAAAAAAAAGAATATTTAACTTGAGGTCTAGCACTAGTGTATTATTTGTGTATCTGTGTATCCCTGTACAGTACCCGTATTTATTAACCCTTTTTAATTTTTGTATGTTAATCTTACTATATTTGATTGTATATTTGCGTATTAACATGATCTCTTCTATTTGTACGGTTGCAAAATATAAAACGACCTACTGTAAATTAGTAAAATCCGTTATGTAGATCACATGAGGGTAAAATCTGCTTTTGCATGATAAAAAACAGTCAAGCGTGGATTTCAACTAGGGTGGTTAGCAAGCTGACGAGCAAATTGGGGAGTTTGGCGGGCTAAAAAAAAGCTTCAACATCAAACCGGCCTAATGTGACTACGTAGCGAATTTTACTAATTTACCGTGTAGGTATCACCCAGTCCTAATATAAACCTTTTCTGGCATATTGTACTATTATCATGCAAGGACCAGCGTAAAAAATTTCCTCCTAAGGCCACACAAAGTTGATTTTTCGTTTTACATTACATGGTATTCAAAATGTCGGGCAGGCGGCGAATTTTTTTCCATTTTTCCATCAGCACCATCGGGCAATTACGGTGAAATTGTGTCTAAATCGGGTGAATTCGGATTAATTTATGGAAAAAACTAAATGCAGAAATAAGATAATTGGCACAATTGGAATTTAAAAAAAAATTGAGCGATGGGTCGGCGATAAAGTTGCTTGCCGTAATAGGTCTGACAAGGTTGTAAGGTTGCAACCTTTTACTCTAAAGTTGTAACTTTTTGGCATAATAAATATAATAGTTGTAATTAGTAAAATAGTTGTAATAGATATAATATTTGTAATGGATTTAATATTTGTAATTGCAATAAATATAATAACATCAATGAGTATGATGGTTGTAATAAATTTAATGATTGTAATAGATGTAATAAATTATAGCTATTACATAATGCCTGATATACAAATTCTATGCAATAATAAAAAAAAAGTATAAGTTGTTATATAAGATCTATGCAATATACATGTTCTTTGGAAACTATGTGAGTCAGATATATGGTAAGTGATCTTGTAGAAGATATTTCAGAGTTACTAACAACATTTTTAAAACCCAGTGTCTCTGAAACATATTACAATAAAATTTTAAAATATTACCAACTTTTACCATTCCAAATAATCAAATATTATACTGTATATATTTTTTAACACTTTAAATAACATAATTTTAGACATAATTACAAGACTTCTGTAAATAATCAACTTAATAAAACTTATATTTATCTAATAAACATTATTCTTTATACAACTATATAACTATTCAGAAAGCAAACTTATAAGATTGCTTGCATCTATTACAAAATTTTATACATTATTTATACAATTTACCTATACTATATCAAGTATCTTTAGTATTTCTTTCTACATTTAATATTATTTAAGTTATAAATCTCTACACTTATATAAAATCAATATAGTTTTTATTTTTTTTATTTTTTGCTTTTGCTAAGATAATTAGTTATTGGTGGCTACTGCCTTTATTGTGATTTAATTATAATTATATAACTTATACAAGATAACTTCTATACTACACCTAACAGATAACTATATAAGTTTCTATTACTAAAGTATTGTTTAACCTAATCCTGACCTTTTTATCTGTATGTCTGTCAAGCTGTTATAGATTTCAGAGTTAGTTATCTAACTGTAAAGCTTTAGAAGGTCCTTCTATTAACTAACTAATTATATTTAATCTTTTATTAACAGAACTCACTCTTGTAAAGTTTAATTAGATCTCAGAACTGACTTTACAATATATCTCTAGTACTTAAGTTATATTATGCTTTAGTTCTTAGACTCTTAATCCAAATAGTCCAGAAGGACTATAACCTGTTTTTGATATTCTGAAGTTTTATCTTTCAAAATTTTTTTTTTTAGTCCAAGACTTTTGGTGACCTAATTAGTGGTATCCCTCATCCAAGGTTCTTGCTTACCTGATTCTTTCTATATAAATATTCATTTTTTAGGTTTAGTTTTTACAGTAGTATTGTTGAAGATCTATGTTACCTCTTTACTTAAGTTTTTCCAAGTAGGCTTTAGCTTCTCAGTTCTATTAATTTAGATAACTACAAAAACTTATTTTGGTTTGTATTTTCTAATTTCAGTTTGTATTTCTCTATATAATTCCAATATTATACAGATGTCTTATGACTTGTCAGTTATACTAGTATAATTATATTTATAGATATCTTATCTTAACTGATTAATATAATATTATTATCATAATACTATTTATATATTATATAGGTAATTATTTAAATTTTTACTATCAGTGGGTTTTGAACTTTTAACCTACCATTTATAGAGTTAACAACTTATCTATTTCACTAAGTTACTATATCTTTAAAATAGCCTTTATTTAAATATTGTTATACTGTATATAAAGATGTTAACAGTTTAGTTATAATTATGACTGATACTGATCAGACTAACTGTTTAACTAATATTATATTTTGTTATTTATTATTATAGTGATCTATAAAATAGTTATCACAATATAAAAATAGGTTTTATTGTATAGATTGTATTGAAATTATTGATATATACAAATTTAACTAAATTAGTTAAATAATATTTAATAAATAAATATATATATTTATATATCATATATTGATTATATTTGAAAATAATGATTAAATCTATTCTAACACAATTTTAGTATTTTAATTAAGGAATACAATAACTAATTATTAATTACTAAATTGAGTTAATATAGATTCATCAATCTTATATATATTTGTATATACATATATATGTATATACATATATATATACATATGTATACACATACTTAAATATTTATTAATTGATCTTAAAAAGTTGTCAAATTTGTAACAATGATTAAATTTATTAAAATATCTTTATAAAGAAATCTTTATAAATATATTAATAATAAATTTAAATATCTATATATAAAAAACTTTTTTAAAACTAGTAATAGTTCTTATAGGTAGTAACTCTTTCTGCAAATCGATTGCACAAAAATTAACTAAAAAATCGTTCGTCTAAAAACACTCATACTATTTATTTTACTAAGACAACCTGTCCTGGCGTCTTAAGTAAACTTGTTCAGCATCACATTTTACATATATCCTGAGAATATTACATCTCTTGAGTTTAAACACATTGAGAAAACTGTACTGACGGCCTTTGGCCCCCAGTTTTAACAATTTAACATTCTTGCAGCTTCTGCTGCTATAA